TGTGTGTGTGTGTGTGTGTGTGTGTGTGTGTGTGTGTGTGTGTGTGTAAGCTACTCCTCACTGAACTGGTAAACACAAGGAAGACAGAAGGTTGTTGCCAGCTTTGTCCAGCTCTCTTTTGTCTCAGAAGGCCATGTAAGGTTTGGCCAGCTGTAGGAAATCCAGTTTGATGGTTTATTTGTGTGTGCAAACAAGGAAGGAAGGCTTCTGTCCACAGGGCTTGTGTGTCGTTGGCTGAATTGTATTTTGTAATTATGATGTTTTATTTTCACAAGGAAGCCTTCATGTCTGCAACTGGTTAGGACTTAAATTTAAAAAATAAAACAGCATGTAGCTGGAAAATAGTTTGTATGTTCTTTAGTAACACAACTGATACTAAACCTGAACGCTGGTCACAAACCAATTTTGGTAAAGTTAAGTGCAAAAACATAGCAATATATGTCATCAAACTAAAAAAAACAATATTAAAGTAATAGGGCACCTGGCACGTGATTGATTTTGATTCTAGTGCCGGTACATTTAATTTCATTGCACTTGAAAGGACTTTGCTTCAGCTGACATCAACCTTTTGTTACCAAAAAGCTGTTCTAGGTCCTTTGTAAGGTTTGACACCCAACCTTAGCTCAGTAGTTTCTACATCTGTTTAACTGTGACCACACAATTATAAAATGTGTTCTTTCAGAATAGGCTTGTTTAAGCTCTCACATTTTCCAATATCCTAGCACAATTCCCAAGTTTTTGCACAGAAGATTCCATAGTTGTACAAACACAACTATAGAGACAACATGTTAATGTAAGATATCTGCAAAAGTGCTCTAGGTCACATTTTGATTTGTTAAATGCTTGCACGCAGGTTGAGGTTCAGTAATACTTGTATAATATTTTAGTTTTATTGTTGCAATTCAAGTGTAGTGTATGTTTTGTTCTGCCTTCTCAAACCTAAACCAAGTCAGAATGCAAATTATGTTCTCTTATTCATATATATGATGATGTAATACGCAATCCTGAATTGTCTTTGTTGAAGCGCAGTACTGAATGCAGCGGAGTAATGTCATCCCTCTCCTCACTGGAAGGGAAAGTTGAGGTTGCATTGGAAAACTGTGTGTGCTTTATGTTTTATCTATGGCATGGTAGCCATGGAAACTGGATGACATAAATAGGCTAGCAGTGGCAGAGAGAGGGATGTTGCAGTTTTTAATAATGGACAGAATTTGGGTCATGATATCTTGCTTGATCTGATCTTGTTAGATCCATAAATTGCATCATGTGCCACTTAAAATTTCATTAATTTGCATGAATCCCTGCTTGGTCTTCAAATCAGCTGCAGGCAGTCATTTAAGAACTGAGTGATGTCTCCTTGCAATCATTAAAGCAATGTTAGAGGAGGAAAAAGCCACATGTTCTTACACCAATTTTTTTTTCTTTGTTTACTTCTGTCTTATGTAATTACATACTGCAATTCAGCGACATTAACAGCTTAAGCATGGTAATTGAGATCATGAATCACTTTGCTATTTGGAATAGCACTCAACACAATTATTTCCCATTCATAATTTCACTGCAGGTTTATTTAGAGGGGCACTAATAAGAGTGAGGGAGGGAAAGAACAGTAGCTGCTCTAGTTTCTGATGCAGAATTGCAAGGAAAAGCTCTGACAAATTTTCTGTGATTATTAGCATATCAGTGGTTTGTTTCTGTTTAATTAATTTTCATGGAAGAGCATCTGAGAAACGTCTATGGGATTTTATAGTGGCAGAAAAAGGTCAAAGTCTGTGCAGCATGCTGGAATATACAAACTATGGTTCCTTAATGACAAGACGCTGCTAACAAGCCAGCAAGCAAAGCAGACTTAAAAGCATCTATTATGTGTCTTGTGCAAGCTCAGCCAAAACTGATGTTAAGGTACAGACCATGGAATACATTTCAAAATCACAGCAACGAGATGGGTGATAACCTAAACAACTAATCAAATGATTTTAATTAAATTGGTATTTAAGAATCAATAGAAGAAAATACTGAAAGAAAGTTTCATTAACACAGGAGAAAGTACTGATATGAGCTGAAGTTAGTGTTAGTAAACACACAAGTACTGAATTCAAGTAAGGGCTGGAAGTAGTTGAAGTCTCATATGAAGCCAGTGCTGAAAGTTAAATGCGTAAATGATCTGAAGTGTTCATTGAAAAGTCCCAAAATGAGTTAACTTTCTAAAAGAGGTTATTGTGTCAGTGAAAACACCAGTGTGCTGAACGCAACTGGTGTTTCTTTATTTAGGTTCCCTTTTGCTATCACCTGCTAAACTGTTACTTTTTCTGGTGTTGCTAGGAGGGGAAAAAGACTGCAGCAGCATGATAATCCTAGTAATAAATACATAAAAAAGGAGCTCTGTGGTAACTGGCAGTCTGTTGCAGCAACTGTTGTGTTTCTTGCTGTTTTTCATCACTTCTGAAAAATGAGGTTGAGTAGCTCATCTACTAATCGGAAGGAATATATATGTGTGTGTGTCAGTAAACGCTACCATCAAACTGACTAATTTCTGCCTAACAGGCCACAATATGTGAGACTGGGCAGTGCTCTGTCTGATTTGGAGATGAACATGTCAGGAGCTCCTTATGGCTGTCTTCCTGTTCAACTTGTATGCCCCTAGACTTTCAGTACAACTCATTCCAACTACAAAAATACTCTGATTCTGCAGTGGTTGAGAACAGAACACTAATGTTTTGTTTTGTTTTTAAAAAATTCACTTCTGAAGGTGAATAAATCAGAGAAAAGCTAATGGACTTCACATTGAAGAGAACACCTACATGGCTCCCGTCTGGGGGTTTCCTCCTCCTCATGGTGGGATGGACGTGCGGTTGTCATCAGGATGTGAGGCCTCAGGGGGGGCTGCAGTTGGCCCGGATCTCCTGGATCTATCTGTGTCTGCCTCTGGCTCCTGGGGACATTATTGTGCTTTCCCACCCTTTTTATCAAGTACAATTTATGGCAAAGGCACATACAGAGACACTTGCTCACTTCTTACAGCTGCAGCAGTTTGTGATACATTGTGCTTTTCTATTTGTGCTCTATCCCTTTATTATATTTTCTCATATTTTTTACCCCCTTCATTCTTTTTTTCTTCCTCCTGCCTGTCAGCTTAGACATGGTCATACTACATATATAATGTAATAACTGAAGCCTAAATGCATCTGACATAAGACGCATCTGGCCACTGAGAGTAAGACTGCTCCTCCCAGGCTGCTGGTTTACATTTCGGCTCCAAATTCTAAAAAAAAACCTAAAAAAAAAATGCATGAATATGAGCAGCCTATAGCGCTCATCTTAGAAAGAACTAATTCAGGCTCTAATAACTGTAACAAAGGCTCTGGCCACTACATTGAAAACATATACCAGAGAAACAGAGGCCAAGACAATAAATAGCCTGTTCTCCAAAGATCCATCCACCGGGGGAATAGGGTAGACTTACCCAGAGCTGAAACTGGAAGAATATCAGGAAACAAGAAGCTTTAAATAACACCAGTGCCAAGT